ATATATATATATCATCAGAATAGATAGATTTTAACATTTAATATTTATCTATATATAATTTTTCTATTTTTAGAGAAAAAAGCTTGTAGAACCAAAGTACATATACATAACGCTATATCGAGTCGGAATGACAAATATCCTAATCTGTAGTCTCGAACTTTGACGCTTAATAACTCGGTTCACAAGGACCGCCGCATTCTTCTTACAGATTCTTTCGTTTTGAGTGAAAACGCGACGAATGAGTATATTTTTATTAAAATTTTAGGAGGGCAAGCTACTTACTTTTTAGGAGACACGTGTTTAATACACATATATATAACACAGTCGCAAGTATACTGCACACATATAAATATTCAATATAGCGATGGAATGTTGCAAGTTATTCCGTTCGGCGGACATGGCAGTACACGGAACATTTTCCGTGTACTGACCACTTTCAATCTACACAGTTAAAGTCTCCTTATTCTTACTTCATGATTTACACTACAGATTAATAGCGTTTTTCACTGGCAGAACTGGTGCGCACTCAGTGCATATTAAAGCTGTTTTACACTAACTTAATTTGAATGTAAAAGTGATATATTTAAATTAATAAAATACCCAATGTATATTTTATCAAATATACCACAATAAAATATATTGAGGGTTTCGCGGTTTAATTCGTTTCTATATTTTTATTGAACGTACATTTTTACATCGATTGTACAACTTTAAAGTGCACTGAGTGTGCACCAGCTCTGCCAGTGAAAAACGCTATAAGTGTTTGCGCTTAACCATTGAGTGCGTGCATCCAATGATCGAACGTTTATATTTAAAATTAAGTGTGTACATTAAAACAGTGCTCGGAATTAGTTGCCCATTTCGGGTCGATTCCTGAGGCGACCCCCACTACCACTCGAGATTCGGCGACCGATCGCTCACATGACGCTGTGCCCCAGGAGCGTCGCGATACAAAAAGTATGCTGAGAGCATATCTTCCGGCAAATATCATTAAAATATTTTCTTTCCTACATGATTTTTATTTTAATAATTAAATTTTTTATTATTAACATATTATGTGTATATTCTGCAATAATATAATAAGCAGTAATATAGTAAGCAATTATTATAATAAGATAATACTGCAATTACGATATGGACAATAGCTTTCCACATCACCTCTGAGATACTATTGTTGATACGTTTTTTTTTTAAATTTATACTGTTATGAAAATTACTTATTTTTCTTTTTTCTGGTTTTTCATTCGTTTTTCATTTATATAGTCTCCAATAGGTTTATTCCGTTAAAAATAACAAAAAATGATCAAATACATGACTCGGCAAAGTCAAATTTTATGATGTAAAATTTTACTTTACTGTAAAAATTCATAAAAATGAAAATAAAAGGTACAAACACCAAATGACCTTGATCTTGACAAATGTTATCCAGGAAATGATCCTGAACAACATTCAAGAGGTTTTAACCGTCGGTCGGACAACTGCGTAATGCTAATGCCGGCTGTACTGTAACTTTCGAGTCTTATAACTCGAAAAATACTTAATGAAAAAATATTTTATTAGTGTTTTGGAAAGCTCTTGAGCTATAAGAATATGTAATGAAAAATAGTGAGTTTAATTTAAGAAATTGAAGGTGACCTTCATGTGACTTTTAAGCGACTATCCAAGGTCAAACCAATGGTACCATTTTATGGCCCCCTTGAAACCATACAATTTTTATCTGAAACATTTTCTTGTAAAATGCAAGGGAACGGAAATATTTGGAGTGATAGATTAAAATGGTCACCTTGTATATGTATATAGGGTGTTCGGAAATTAGCGCATCAGAATATCATAGCAAGATAGAGCAGACTAAACTGAGTCGAAAAATCCTGTACCATTTTGCAATTTTCGTAATAGTTAACGAGATATTAATTAATAAAAATCGCTCAATATTGGTCTTCAATAATTTTTTACTCAAATACTATCAACTTTACAGAAAAACTACAAGAGATAAAAATTGTTTATTTTCTTCTCACAGAACTCTAAAAATTTTTTAAGAATTTTTTATCATCTTTTTAATGCTGCATTTTCTTATTTTTACCGATATGAAAAAATACGGTATTAAAAAATTCTGAAAAAATTCTCAGAACTTTATGAGAAGAAAATAAACAATTTTTGTCTCTCGCTATTTTTCTGTTGATAGTATTTGAGTAAAAAATTATTGAAAACCAATATTCAGCGATATTTAGTAATTAATATCTCGTTAACTATTGCGAAAATTGCAAAATGGTAGAGGACTTTTCGATTCAGTTTAGTCCGCTCTATCTTGCTATGATATTCTAATGCGCTAATTTCCGGACACCTTTTATATATACAGGGTGTCCCATAATTCACCTGACAACGCTCGTGGGCAAATAGAGCGGACTAAACTGAGTCGAAAAGTCTTTTACTATTTTGTAATTTTTGCAATAGTTAACGATATTAATTACTAAAAATTGCCGAATATATTGGTCTTCAATAATTTTTTTCTCAAATACTATCAATTTTACAAAAAAATTGCAAGAGACAAAAATTGTTTATTTTTTCTCATAGAACTCTAAAAATTTTTTCAGAATTTTTTAATACTGTATTTTCTTATGATGGTAAAAATAAGAAAATGTAGTACTAAAAAGTTGATAAAAAATTCTGAAAAAATTCTTAAGAGTTATATGAGAAGAAAATAAACAATTTTTGTCTCTTGCAGTTTTTTTGTAAAATTGATAGTATTTGAGAACAAAATTATTGAAGACCAATATTCGGCCATTTTTAGTAATTAATATCTTGCAAAATGGTTGAGGATTTTTCGACTCAATTTAGTCCGCTTTATCTGCCCACGAGCGTTGTTAGGTGAATTACGGGACACTCTGTATATATGTATATATTATAGGCTGTACCAAAATTCACTGTCAGTACTGAAAATGTATAGTAAACATTGTCCATTCAAGTATATTTCTGGTTCTTTAGCAAATAATTCTAATCCTATAAAATACAAATTACAAATTCTTGCAATAATTAAATTTACATATTTATCTCTAGATAATACTAACAATAAGTACAATTGAAAGGAAGTGGTATGGGAAATTAGTATAAAATATATATAAAATATTTTTGTATCATAAAATTCTGTTCTTTATTGTCCCATTGCAGAAGATAAGCAAAAATTTTTCGTTTCGAAAATAAATCATTAAAGAATTGATAGGCCCACATAACAGGGATAAAAATATAGTAAAGTATAACTCGAACATTTTAAATTTAACTTGTGTCAGGTTGGAAATGTTGTCGTGCAACGGCACCTAATACGATTTCTGCACTGTATACATCTGTAAAATTTTAAATGAAAAAAATTACATGTAATAAGATACATTTCTATTTACAAAATAATATATACAAGGTGTTAGTTAAGTATGTTGCCATACTCAACAGAGCGATTCTTTGGTTTATTTCAAGTAAAAATTCAAGTAAAAATTAGTCGTTATAGACCCATATAAACATGGGTCTTAAACGACTTAGTTTCCGAAATACAGGTGAATGTTCACAAATGTTTGACGAGACAGTAAATTGCGTTGGAGATATCTTCTTGCATAAATATGCCTTGCTTCACGTGAGTTACCATTCGCACAATCGTAAACAAAGTGATAAAGTCAAAGTCAAAGTCACAAATCAAAAATAGACTTCAGTTTCGATCTTTGAGCGTATACGTCAATCTTTGAGAAGAAGGCTCGATAGATGTATCATGGCGCAAGGTGGACATTTTCAACAATTCATCTAATTGTTTTATTTCATCAGAAGAACTGAAACCTGTTTTTTTTTGTTTTTCTGTTTTTGACTAGTTTTTGACTGATTCAAGCTGTATTTCTTTCAAATAAACAGATTATTACTACACCTTTAAATTTTTTTATTTCGGAAACTAAGCCGTTTAGGACACATGTTTATATGGACTTTTTTACTTGAAATAAATCAAAGAATCGCTCTGTTGAGCATGGCAACATATTTAATTAACACCCTGTGTATACAGGGTGTCTCAAAAAAACGGATCGAAACACAATGGGGACGTAGATTGGATCAAGGGGAACAATACAGTTTTGTACCATTTTGCAGTTGACGCAATATTTAACGAGATATTAACGTTTAAAGATAGGCGAATACAAGCGTCCGACCAGCCTACTCATGTACTGCTGCCGGCAGGACGGCCTACCGTCCCCACCGTCGCATGACGCGGCGGGCCGCGAGATGCGGGGATGGCCTGGCAAGCGAGCCACTTAGAACGGCGCGCATGGGGAAGAGAAGGATAGCGCTTGAGCAGTAGGCTGGTATACATATATATGGTATACACAGGGTGTTTGATAATTAATGAAAAATCTCTCGCAGAGGGGTAGAATGGACTAAATTGAGAAGAAAAGTCTTCTATCATTTTACAATTTTCGCAATAGTTAACGAGATATTAATTGATAAAAATATGCAAATTTGTCCGGCCCATCGCCAAATGCAAGCACGCGGCTGGATAAGACCGCCCAGCGAGGCGCGTCGCGCGCGTTCGCCGTCGCTAGGCACCGTTGTTTATAATAAGCGGCAATGGTCGTCGCTAGACATTTTGTCGCGAATGGCGTCGAATTTTCAGCTATAATTATTCTTTGAGATATGATTAGTCTCTGTTCATATCAAAACTCTGCATACGAGAGGGAGGACGACACTTTGAATAATTTTTGCATTAAAGCATGAGAGTGGATTAGGTTTATTGGAGAAACCACTATAAAAAAACGCACCGTGCTATCTAGCAAAGTGATGTGGAAATGATAGCAATCTGTCATTTTCTTATCGCGCGTAGAGAACGAAAGAAAGTTTTTTTTGGCGCGCGGTACTGCATGTAGACGCACACCGGCTCGCTGTTCATGCATGTATGCACGCATGCACGCATGCTTCCGACATACGTGCATGCAAAAATAAATTTTTCGTTCGAAGATTTCGTTTTGATATGAACAGAGAATAATCATAGCTCAAAGAATAATTATAGCTGAAAATTCGACGCCATTCGCGACAAAATGTCTAGCGA